ATATGATGCACATATCGAAATGTCAAAATCATTTATTTAGCCTAAATTTAAACCTAAAGAACGGCTACAATCTCCCCCACTCCTCATTTTTTCAGTTACTATCCGGAATATTCGGGAATTTCCGAGTATACGGGTTAGTTAAGCTTTTACTGTTAAAGGATGACTGCATGAAGCAATTTCCCGTCTTCTGATTTCAGAAATGTGCCTCTTTTTTACTTAAATTACTTTGTTTGGGATATATGTTAAGGGAAAACTGTTATGGAATGAAAATTTAGAAAAAGTTCAGAATTTTGATTTAAGTTGAATTATTTAAATATTAATATGAGTGGAAAAATAAATTGTATTTATTATTAGGTGCCAAACGAATACAATTAATATGGCTTATTATTATTTATTTTCTATATTTTCAGCTGAAATATCATCAATAAATTTTGTAATATAGTTTAGTTCTGCATGGTTTTTTTTTCTCTCACTTTAAACTAATTCTGTAAATTGAACTGTCATTTAAAATAAAATTTAAAAAAAAGTTAATTGTTTTCCATTGTTGAGGTAATGCTCATTCTCCTAATAAATATTGCATTGCTCATATTTTAAATTACAAGTCTAATTTTTCTTTTAAGGTTATGCAGTTGTGTATAATGTAATTAGACAGGTGCTTATTTTTTCCTTAAAATGTGCTTGAAAAGGGCTTATAGGTGCTTATTTTTTTAACTAAAATGTGGCTATGAACCCTGTGAACATCTTCGAAGGGCAATTGAGAACAAGAGAAGAGGAATGTCGTCACCAGGTATTGTCCTTATTCCTGACAATGTGTGGCCGCACACTGCAGGTGAAACAAGGATCCTTCTGCAGCATTTTGGATAGGAAATTTTTTATCACCTACCATACAGTCCTGACTTGGTTTCCTCAGATTTTCATCTCTTTGTCCACATGAAACGCTGGCTAGCAGGACAGCATTTTGCCACAGACAATGAGTTGCAGACCAGCATACAGAATTGGCTGAAAACACGGGCATGTATGAATCGGAACGACAATTAACGTCAGAAAGTAGCTTAATGCTGTATCACATTACTGTCACCCTTTTTTTCAAAGGCAGTGTTCATTTCACTTCCCCCAGTAACCCGCAGCTTGCAAACGTGTTTTTTATTAAAACAATAAAAAACAATCTCTACCTGCTTTGGGCACAGAATACAAAAGGATCCCTTATTCACAATGTGCCTATCGCTTTTACTGGCATCTGCAGCTTATCCACTTGTATCCAAAATTATTCATTTTTCCGTGACATGGAATCAAACAAACATTTAGAATTATTCCTGAAGCTAGTTTTCTACATAACAGAATGCCAATTTTTCTCATTTTATCATTTATTTGCTACTCTTTATCATAGATGCTTATTTGCTGTGGAAGGCCATTATAAGTACATTTTTAGGATTTGTAAACAAATAATTTTTTCCAGGAAATTTCAATCAAAGAGCATCAGAGTTTAGCTGCTTTTTTGGGGGGCACGGGTACTGCTGTATCAATTTGCCACTATAATATAAAAAGTTTTTTTTTTTTTTTTTTTACATAAGATTCCTCTCTGCCATGAACACCTGTTACTGTTAATAGCTCAGCGATTGGGGGGGTGGAGGGACTCGAGTGGAAAAGTCACTGAAGAAAGATATTTCAATTTTAGTTGAAAGTTCAATTTTAAGTGCATGGGTGTTTTTTTTTTTTTTTTTTTTTTTTTTTGTTTCCCCATGTGTAACCATTTTAGGCAGTTTTCATTACTAACTCAGCAAAGAAATGAGGTAATATAAAACACAAACATTGCCCATTGCCTATCACAGAGAAAGTATAAATACTAAAAAGAAACTTGGTCAGTGCAGATCATATGTGAAACATATGATACCGGCTTTTCACAATGTGTGCTATTAAAAAGTCCTTTTTTGACAGTGGATCAAAAAGAAAATGTTTAAGGAAATCAATGACCGGAGGGAGGGGGGGTTAGATCTAGACCAAGTTCTCATATGCTGGTTTAATCTTCATGAAGGTGTGGAAATTTCTGTTGATTTATTAGCTGAAATTGAAGCACAAGTGTGAATATTCAGGGGTTTGGCTGTATCGTTTGAAATCATGATATGGCTTACAGTCATGCTGTGTATGGTGCCCACCGGTTACCAAGTAATCAAGTCACTAAACACGGGTAATTTGACCTAGGATTGATTCCAGGTGAACAGAATGGCTTTTCATGGTTTTCCTCATGTGTAACTTAGATACGAGCTAGTGTCCCTTAGAAAGTCCTCCATGAAGGTATCCCATCCCTTAGGCAGATAGCCCTAGCTTGCAATGCTAAAATCAAGTAAACTAAACCAATCATATGGTTTGCAGTGAAAAAACTTTCAGCAGACAAAGATATGGCTAGTGCATGTGTGGGTGAATTTGAAATATTTGCTAACAATGAACATTAAAGTATGTGCTGCACAATATATTCGAGAAAATAGCTAGGAAACAAGAAGAAAAACAACAAGGTCTACACTTGACAGTCCACCGTCGTCAACTTCAAGAATGTTCTATTTCATATGCTGCCATAACTCTGTAGAATTGTTTTTTCACTTGGACAAAAATTGTGTATAACTGCTTTATTTAGTTGATAAAAATTAATATTTCATTTAAGTGTTTAATTTTCTTTCTTCAGTAGGCTCTGCATACATATACTATACAGCATATATAACTATAACAAATCTCGTGCTTCTCAGAAATTTAAATACAGATTGTTGTACAAGTTTTTGCTTTATTACTAAACTAAACTTTTAAAGCAAGTTTCATACAAAGTCCTGGAAAGAAAAGTGAAAAAATTTTAGTTCATTTGCCACACAAAAATATAGTTACTATTTTATACAACCTTAGCTGTTTGCCAAAGGTGTGTATTTTTTGTAAAAAAGCCATTCTGAGTATAGTATTAGCATTTGAAAACAAATTATTATAATATTTTTTTCAGAAAATTTCAGGGCTTAATTTTTAAATTTAGAAGTGCCAGAGCCCTATGGAAGACCGTCAGCAAAGAGAAACAAGAGTAAATAAATAAATAAAATGACTATTAAACTTATTAATAATTTTAAAATTAAATAGTTAATTATTATTATATTAATTAATAGCTATTTAATTAATGTTTATTCATTGTTATTTAATCGATAATTATATAATTAATTATAATTTAATTGTTAATTATTAGATCATTAATTAATTATTATTTATTGAAATAATTAAATGATTAAATAATTAAAATTAATTTAAATGTAAGCAGATAAATCAAAATTTAATAAGCTATTTTTAATATAATTTTGTTGCTAAAAATAAAATATTCGAGATAAAATTTCTACTGAAATTGTTATTCAATTACATAAACAAAGTGCTGCAGCCTTATTTAAGGCTCTGGTGCACTCCGGCTAGAATTATGATCTATTACAAAAACTAAGAAGCACCGGGCTCCGGCCTATTTTAAGCTCTGAACGTGGGGGGGGGAGTTCTTTTTTCATCACAAAGTTAAATATACTTGAAGTATAGCTGATGAAAATTCAGATAATCTAAAAGCAGGGGGAAACGGAATGAAGGCGAAAAGGTATCAGTGGGTGGATACAAAAAAATGAGGGGAATCTTGGTGAGAGAGAGCATTCTGTTTGACTGTAGCTCTCTGCTGATACAATTATAGTCATCAAGCACATGTATGTCAGGGGTAAAATGAGTTCTGAATCTGACTCCTAAGGATGAATCTAAAATTTCTGGTTACGCTTTTCGCCCCCTCCCGTATTTGGTTACATTAGTGGATATTATGGGAAGACGATGTCTAAGACGTACTTGAGCAGTTTATCGCTGTCATTGTACTCGCTGTCACTTAACCCACATTTAAGAACACAAATTTTCCTTCCTGCAAGGATAACTAAGTGTAACCATTGATAACAATACACTAGATACGATGGCATGGTGAGAAATTTACGTTTTCCTAAACAAACGCCCCCAAATTTGTTGTCCTTCTTAAAGGGTAAGGTTTCCACATGTGAGTGAGGGGACTTTACTCTCATGTTCTCATGAGTTTGTATTTCTATGGAAATAGAGTACTGCAAGGTCTGCTTATTGTTAAACTAAAATGCTATGAATTATAATTTTTTTTCCCTTGAAATTGTGGTTAAGTTTTATAAAAAGAAGTACCGGAGCTCATCTTATTTAGGGCTCCGATGCGCTCCACCTAGAATTGTAATTTATCTTAAAAATTTAGAAGTACTGGAGCCAGGCTTCGGCACAATTTAAGCACTGGAAAATTTTAATCCAAAAGCATCAATGTTTGGCATTGAATGTTTTCTTTGATGTTACGACAAGCAATTTTTCACTATATGATAAAAGGCAGATTTTTTTTTATATAACATGTCTTTCTGCTTTCAACACCTGTTAATGTTAACAGCTCAGCTATTGGGGGGGGGCACCAGGCGGTAACATCACTGAACACTGTTAGTTCTACCTGAGTTCAATTTCAAGTGCATGGACGTTTTCTTTGTTTTTCCCATTTCATCCCTCCCTCATTTTCATCATTACCATTAAAAATCCTCCAAAAAGGCATTCTTTCCCTTAATGTTTCCGTGGCTCAGCTGTTATTAATATTAAAGGGAACATTAATATGGTGGGTGCTCAAGGCTGTTGCCGACAACAGGCGCAATCTTTCATTCCTTACCATGATGAATTTCATCGACTCGTTCTGTGTTACTGTCAGACAAGTGAGAAAAGTCACAATGACAACAACAGAATATTAATTTTCAAGGTATTTTTCAGATTTTTAAATATAATTCCTAGGTAGATGTAAAATTCCATCTCATATTGTCAATGAAATTTATTTTGACAATGCATGCATATTTCATAATTTTGCTAATTTGAATGTGTTTAAAATGTTACAGTAGTGTTTATTAATTTAAAATTTTCTTTGCTTTTTTCCCTGGCTATTCTGTTAATTGCATATCTTTTATTCTTAGGGCATTTGGAGGGCACCTAGTAATGAAATTGATCGCCCTGGCAGCTTTGGTGCTCATATGTATAGATCTGTTCATTTGCTGATAGAAGTATTAACTCAACAAAAGGACTATAATATGCTTGTATTCGTTACCCAACAATTGTATCGAACTCCAGATCTTGGAAAGTAAGATATTAAAAATGTAAAATCCGTAGCCTACCATTTAAGTGTAATATTTAATTATTCTGTTTGGTGAATGGTCACTAAAAACCATAAAAAATACATTTCTGATATATAACTGTTGTTTATCTAGTAACTTATTGGCTAGTATCATGTTCAACCAGTGGCTTAAGTCATGAAGTATGTGTAGCTTTTTTTCCCAAAATCAAAAACTTTTGGTTATGTAAGTGTTTTCTAAAGGCAAGCTTCCAAATTCAGTGGTGTAAATGCAGGCCAGAATTTCTGTACAAAAGATTGTGAATAAAAGTCGGCAAACTTTGTATGAAACTTAACTAAAGAGTTAAAATCTAGCTTCAGAAAGACAGCCAGGTGGCTTCCTGCCTATCTTAAATCTTCCAGTAAAGTAACATCAACTTGGGAAAACGTTTAAACAAACTTTTTCATTAGATCTGAAACTTGACACAACTTATATATAATCACAGAAAGCTTTGCTGCTTCTAAATTTAACAAAACACGAATGTTAAATTAAGAATTTTGTATTTTAAAATGTAAAAATTTGTGAGACAGTTTGTGTCTATAAAGCTTTGCCTCAGGCCCTTGACTCTCTTGAGCACACTCAACTAGCAAAGACTAAAGCCATTTCAAGTAAATCTAGTAGCTGGGCGAGAATAATATTAAGATGATCAGTGATCACTATCAAGTGTTCTCTTCTAAATTCAAAAACACTTAAATACGCTACTAATATGCATCTTGGTAGAAGTTATAATGGGTTAATAAAAATAAATTATCAAAGTTTGTGTATAAAAGTCTCAAAATTATTCTTAAGTAGATACTTTAACCCTCCAAGCAGCATAGCCATATGTATGCATTCAAAAATATTAGTTATAATCCTTTAAATATGCAGATGTGCATCTTAAAATATGTTTAGATAATTAATATATATTGGAAGAAAAGGAGTGAAGGTACAAAGTGGAAGGATCATCTTGAAATTATCAAGGAAATGTCATTTATTCAGTGCAGGACTCATTTCTTTTTACTACCAGCTGAAGTGTGAAATTGCTGAAGGGCATTCTTCGCTGATTCATGGATTTGTATTAGTAACTTAACTAAAAGGAACTCTCAGTTAATATCATTATTTCTTCATGTATGGGAAATTATTTGTTTCTATTATTCTGATATTCATTTAAATGCCATTTACATAAATATCATTGAACTTCAATAATCTCCATGCCATGAGATTATGGTTGCAGATTAGAAAATTTTGCTGATTATCAGTTATGTTTTCTCTTTCTGATATTTGCATTAAATTTGGATTATTAACAAATGTGTTTTGCAAGATTTTTTTTTAATTCAAAACTACTGTAATTTTTAAATACAATTATTTAAAAGAAAATAATGTCAATACAAAAATTTACTGGAGATAAAAAGGGATAAGTGTTTCAGAACTTTTTTAAGAAACTAGAGAGCTTGTTTTCGTAATTTTTTTTTTTTAATACTGTATATTTACCAGCAAAATTGGTTTTAGATAAGAGAAAAAGTCAATTAAAAAAAACTTTAGAAAACCTTAGCAATTTAGATTTTTCCAGATTGAAAGCCTCTGTTATGTTCAGTAACTGTGCAGTTGAATTAAAAGCACTACTAGTAGTTAATTTTTAAAAAATGCTTGAATTGAAATATTGTATTTATTAAAAGAAATGTTACTTTCTTCGGTAACTCTCATCTCTTTGTCATGCTTTCAGTTTTGAATGTCTGAAAAGTCTCCAAAGTGCTGTTGTTAAGAGTTTTTCCACTTTACTGCTAATCAAACTTACTTCCTACATGAAATGTAAGCAAACCAGCTACAATATGCATTTAAATTGGAATTCAACTTCTGAAAAGTTGTGAATAAATAAATTCATCAGCTTTGCTAACCACTTAAACTCAAATAAAGGCAGTGCAATATATAACTAAAAGTAGAGATTTTTCTAAATCAATTCTAAATTTCAATTTACAAAATTTCATGATGTGTGTTTACTTTAAAAAAATAATAATAAAATAAAATAAAAAAGCTCTTATTTGTGCAAAGAAATACTAAATGACTTCAGTAATAAAATTAATTAACTTTTTCCATCAAAATATGTCATAAGTTTAGTGTGTTTTTGTTTTAAAATATGCTACATTTATAACATATTGTTAAAGAAAAAACAGATTAACCTATACATATAAGAAAAAATTGCCATTTAATATGTCATACTGAATTTTCTGAAAACTGAAACTTTGTGCCCAAAAAGTTAATGCAGATTTATTGTATTCATGTAATTAGTCACAGATAGATTATCAAAATTCTACTGTATAACTTATATAGATACCTTATTTTAAATATGTCTTATTATCCGTACAGTTGTAATGATTGTTTTTAAAAATATGTTTTGCTTCTAGAAAATACATGCGAGATACAGATCGGGTTAATTTGGTTAGAGAAGCGTATGATTCATGCGTAAATATCCTGCGAGGCCAGTTGAATACTCTGCTTCAGGAAGAACCTCCTCCCGAAGAAAGTAGACTTATCTGTTGTCTCTTGGAGATTTACAGGTCCTGCCAGACTTTGTTGAAATCTGGAATTTATGTAGATGAAACAAATGAACTTCTTGTAGAAGCCTACACGATGTACAGGATAGGGGAGGTCTGTATATATGACTTAACTTTCTCTGAAGTGTTTTGCTTGCCTCATAAATAATAGCTTTACCTAAAAAGTAAAATTTTATGTTGATTCTGCTGTATGCATCTTTTAACACAATTAAAACAGCTTTTGAATAACCTGTTCTACTGGGGAAGAGAGTAAAAGAAAAGTATATTTCCTATATATATATATATATATAAAACTCAAACATATATATATACAATGGCGATGTTAAGAAATAATTGACGACCTTAAAATTGACTATTCTAAATTTTATGTTTTCCCCCTAAGTTCATCCTTTCTCCCAAATTCGAGATCTTTCCAATTTGCATAACAGTGCTTGAAAAAGGTAACTAAAACTAAAATTAATCAACCATAGCTTAGCTTAACTTATGCAGCTACATAGTATAAATACTGGTCACGAGAAATGATGCCTTCCTTTACTCCTGACTTCAGCTGTGCAAACAATTCTGTACTGCTATGCTTGTCTATCTAAAATACGTATGTCATACTTTTAAAACCCATGTACATAAAAAGTTATTGTATTCAACTTGTGATTGGAAAGTAATTTATCTCCCATAAGAGATGATTTGAAATGTGTAAAAATAAAGATGGTGATTTGCCGAATTTAGTTTTGTCAACATCTTTCTGCATTTTTCACTAAGCCATGATGACTGTAAGCTGCTAAAAGTACCAGTGTCTTCTATGCAGATTAAATTATTTTTATTATTATTATTATTATATATACACTCAAGAACCAAAACATTATGACCACCTGTCAATAACGAGTTGGGCCACTTTTGACGCACAACACAGCTTCAAACCGCCTTGGCATGGATGCCACAAGTCCTTGATAGATGGCTGGAGACAAATTGTACCAGATGTTGTATCAACGGTCACGCAAATCCGAAATATTGCGAATTGGTGGTCTTTGACCTCTGAGCTGCCGTCTCATGACATCTCAAATGTATCCGGTGAGTTAGGCGGCCAGGACGTTAACTGGAAATCAGCATCATGTTCCTGGAACCACTCCAACACATTTGTAGCTTTGTGACACGGGGTGTTGTCCTGTTGGAACATTCCATTTCCAGCTGGAAAAACAGAGGCCATGTAAGGGTGCAACTGGTCCACAATGACGTTCAGATACCCTGTAGCATTCATGATCTGCTGTACCACAAACACTGGTCCCAGAGACGCCCAAGAGAACGTTCCCCAAAGCAGAATACCACCACCACCTGCCTGTGTATGACCTACTGTGCATTGAGGGAGCAACTGTTCGCATGGAAGACGGCGTATCCTGACACGGCCATCGGCGTGATGAATGACAAACCATGATTCATCTGACCAGGCAACTCTCGCCCACTGATCCATGGACCAGTCGTGATGTTCCCGGGCCCAGCGTGGGCGCAGTTGCCGATGACGCTTGGTCAGCAAAGTCACACAAGTGGGACGTTTGCTGCGTAGCCCCATATCCAACAACAGTGTCCGCTGAACAGTGTGCTCTGATACTTTTCTACTTGGCCCTGCATTGTATTCGGTTGTCAACTGGGTCACAGTCTGGCTCTGGTTTTGCTTCACCCATGCGAGGCAGTCTCCGACGACCTTTTTCTTTGATAGCGTGTGGACGTCCAAAACCATGTCGTCTACTGCTGGTTTCACCGTCATTCATCCACTTTTCATACGTACTAACAATTGTAGATCACGAACAACCCACGAATCGTGCAGTTTCGGAAATACTTGTTCCGAGCCTTCGAGCCATTACAATCGGCCCTCTATCAAAGTCCCTTAGATCCGCAGCCCTTCCCATCACACACAGAAGTAAGTGAAAGAATGATTCTTCAGACTCTCCAGCAGCAGCAGTAAAATACCACTTCCACCTGATCAAGTGCCTTCCACGTCATCCAGGCGCATTCATCGCAAAATGTAGGCCTGGTCATAATGTTTTGGCTCTTGAGTGTATATATATATATAAAACAATATCACAAATTTGGATTTAAAAACAAAATTATCCCAAGTTATTTTCATGCAATAGCTGCTGAAAATTAATCAGTATAACAAAAAGTAAGAAAATTAGAGCCAATTCCACAAAAACCCAAAAGAAGTGAAATTCAATACCATTAAATTTCAAAATTCCCAATAAATATGCAAAATTAGAAAAATTAAAGAAACATGAAAAAATGAAACCTAAAAAAGTATGAAAACTACAAAAAGTGAATGCATTGGAAGAGAAATGCAATCAAATCTGATATAGTGATATCAAGAGAAGATACATCAGGGATTCAATTGAGTCTGAAAGAAAGCAAAAAAAAGACTTCTAGCACCAGGTGTTAGTTTATTTGAATTTGGCAAATCACAAGAGGGCTATCTGCCTAAAGAAAGGGATGCATTGATGGAGTGCCTATCTAATGGAAACTAACTTCAATTCATGTTATCCATGATGAAAATCATGAAAAACAGCCATGCAGTCATTGCATTCTCCTAGGATTGAACCTCGGACAAACTACCAGGAGTTAAAGGTCGTAATTAGTTAGCCATTGATGAGGTGGCAAATCACCAGAAGATTGTTAAAAACTATCAAGGTATGGCATTGTAAGCATCAGTAGTATCAAAAAAGGATTATATGGTAATATATGGAAGAGAATTTTTAAATAATTTATGAGATTCATATTGCATTCATCCAAGGAGGGTGAAACAAAATCATAAAAGAGGTATAAGAACATTAGTCTAAATTGTAATGGTATATTTAAATCTTTGTGAACTTTGTCAAAAGAAAAAGCATTCAAGAAAAGGTATTATTATTAAACCAATTAAAAGCAGTGAATTAAAGTTGAAGTGTCAAACCAATCTGATTGACTTGCAAATACAAGCAGATGGAAACTGTAAGTTTATAATGGTTTATAAAGATCATTTAATGAAATTTCAATCAGTTAAGACTATTAAAAGCAAAATGAGCTGTGAAGTTGCTTATCTGCTGGATGTGTTTTTAATATTTAGAGCACAGTGCATCTTTCAAAGTGATAATAGCCGAGAATTTGCAAATAAAATTGCTAAAGAAGTTTGTGGAATTCATTCAAAGTTGTTCATGGAAAGCCAGGATATAGTCAGTTGCAAAGTGAAGTTGAAAGAGTAAACCAAGGCATTGAAAATATGTTATCCTATTGGTTTGAAACAGACAATACAATGAAATTGTTAAAAGGAATAGCATTAATTCAGCTTATGAAAAATAGAGCATATCATTTGGGGGTAGACTGCATTCCATATGAAGCTATATTTGACTGAAACCCTAAAGTAAGCATAAGAACCTACTTACCAGTCAAAATTTCTCAGTAATTACAAATGAAGAGGATCTTACTTAATTTTAAAAAATGAGTCTAATAATGATTTTCAACTTTAGACGGTAATCTCAGCTGAGGATGAGGATATAAGTACAATGACAATATGGAAGTGAAACTGGATGATTCAGATAAAGGCTTGTAGTCCATAACTATTGCATGTCCAATAAAAAATGGAAATAAGAGTGTTGGACAAATAAAGGAGTGATGTAATTCTGATACAGCAAAGACGAGTGATGAAAGCAGAAAAGCAAAATGTTTCATTGATGCTGAAATGGAAGATTTTGGAGAAAACAAGGAAGGCTCTTCCTTTTTCTCTTAATGAGGTCTCAAGAAATATTCCAGAAGCTTGATGCTGTGCTAAAAGTCACTAAATAAGCAAGCAAAAGAAATGGTATGGCTTTCAAATTTAGAATATCCAGCTGTGAATATAGGAGAAACTGCCCATATGAGAAAACCTGAGGTAAATAGGGTTAAGGCTAATAGCCGAAATACTATAGGTGTTATAACTTCTAAGAAAAATGAAAACTTGTATAAACTAGGTACAGAGCATTGCTTAAGTCAATTATATGCAAAGAATGATTTTGCTATCTGCAAGGAAGCTCTTATTTCAATCATTAGAGCTCCAGATACTGCATAAGTCAGAGAATATGCTTATAAAATTATAATTTACATAGTCTTGGATTTCAGTAGTGCAACTGTACGAGCAGTTGTAACTCAAATCACTGCAAATGTGAAAAGTCAAAAACCCTTTTAACCTCAGAGGCAAGTGAAGTTCTTCTTGTTAAAGTAAATTAGTTTTTTAAAATTGTAATAATGTTGTATTTGTAATTGCAATTTTTAATCCCTTTAAAGTATCTGTGTATAATGTAATTTGTTTGATATGGTAAATAATGAGTGCATTTTATAAGTAACAGTAATTATTATTATAAAGCATTTTTTTTTAATTGACCAAATTTTATTTCTAATAAAACTATCAATGTATGAAATTTAATGCTTCTCATATTGTATGACATTACTTTAGAATTTGAGGTTTCAATTTACTAATTGATTAATCACATTGACCAAACTTTACTTGTAATTATTAATATTTACCAGTAAATGTGATTATGGTGTAATTTTATTACATTCAACAAAAAAATGTGGTTATTATTAGTAATAACTAGCTGTTATTAATACTAATGACTTTACTTTACCCATAAAATAAATATAATTCTTGTATAACACTCTCTTACATAACACTTCAATGATTAATGTTTCAAATTTGGAAAATAAAAACTCATTATTACCTATAGAGATTAAGTTTGCACCAAAACGAAATCATCTTGAACCAAGTTCTCAACTGAGACATGTTGCATTCGCTTTCTGCTTTGCTTGCTTGTTAAAATGCTGTCACTGCATTTTTTATAATGTTGCCTAATAAAAACAATATAAAAAGTTCTTCAAGAATGGGTATATAGTTATGTCATAAAAATATTACTGCACCTGTGTTGGCTCAAAAGTTTTTGTCAATAAGAATAAAGAAATATTAAATTGTCCATTACAATTGGAACTATTTCGTTTTGCATTTATCTAGCACCAATATCCAAATTACTTAATTCATATATATATGAGTGTGTAAGATTTGACAAAATGCAATAGCTGCTTTAAGAAATAATTCGCGACCTCAAAATTAACTATTCTAGATTTGATGTTCTCCACCCCTAAATTCATCTGTTCTCCCAAATTCGAGATCTTTCCGTGTTGCATAACAACCTGAAATTAACCAGTCGTAGCTTAGAGTACTTTCTGCATCTACTTAGTATAAATACTGCTTTCCAAACAAATTACGGTATTTCTTTCCCTAGCTTCCACCTTCCAACATGTGTATGCTGCTATGCCCACCTGTCTAAAATGACATTGCCCCCTTAACCTGTGTTCATAAGAAATTATTGCAATTGCTTATGATCAAAAAGTATATTGTCTATGAAGAATGATTCTAATGTGTCTATAAATAAAGATGGTAATTAGCTGAACTTGGTTTGGGCCAACATCTTCCTGTCTTTCCACTCGACTACCGAAAGCTGCTAAATGTGCCAGTGTTGACTGCGCATCAAAATTACTACATATATATACATACATGCACAAGATGTGGTCATTTATTTCCAAGACTGATCTAATAACTTCAGAAAAACCTTATATGAAATACATACCCATTTAATATGTTTCAAAATTAACTTCCACCTGACATGATGCACTTCTGTGATCGGCTGTATAAATTGTTGAAACAACTTTTAAAGTCCTCTTTAATATGGACATCACCATTTTCTTGATGGCTTTGACATCCTTAAATCTTGTTCCCTTCAGAAAATGTTTCAGTTTTGGAAACAAGAAAAAATCTGCTGATGCTAAGTCTTGAGAGTATGGAGGATGCTGCATCTCCATAACCTCATGCTGAACAAAAAAACCACTTTAAGGTAACATAACGGGGGGCCAAGCATTGTCATGCAAAAGGAGCCGACTCTCATTTTGTTGAAAACGAGGCCTTACTGTGCAGACTCTTTGTAGATGTCTGGCAAGAACTTCTGTCCAGTGTAAAACTATCCAGTGACAGTCTTGTCATGAATAACAAACTCATGATGAATTAGTCCTCTATTAAAAACAGTGATTAATATTACCTTCATTTTGGTGTCTCGGAATTTTTTTTGTCTTGTGGAGCTTGGAGACCGCCATTCAGAGCTCTCTCATTTGTTTTCAGGGTCGTATTGGTAACACGAAGACTCATCTCCTATTACTTTCGAATTGAGGAATGCAGGAACCTTGCATTTGGAGTCCTAGATCTTGCCAAAATTTGCCATTCCACCTCCTTGGAAATATTCAGTTCGTTGGCAAATAATTAATCAGCGATTCAAAGTCACAGGCTCACAAACTATCTCAGTTGTTTCTGACTTGCACATGGAATGGGGTCATCCAGTGTGTCCATTATCTTCAACACTTTTGTGGCCATTCCAAAAATGGCTAAAACATTCAAAAGTGCATGAAAAAGATAATGCTTCCTTTCTATATATTTGTTTCAACATTTCGTAGGTTTCTGTGGCAGTTTTTTCCAATTTGAAGTAGTATTTAATTTTAATTCTGGGTTCCATTTTGACTTTGACAATCAAAATTTAACACCTACATTTTAATGTGTGTGTCAAGATCAACCACTTTTTACGAATGATGCCAACTTTATTGGTCATGTGCAGATAAACGATCTTCCAAATACAAACATTATCACATTCTATTTGATTTACGCTTCTCTTACAATTATATATATTTACCCAATAAAGAATGAAATCTAATCTTTGGGATGCATGTGCCCATTAGTACTGAGAGGGTTAAAATTAAACTGAAGGGAAAAAAATATAACACAAAAATATTTAGAAGAATAAATTTGTATCTATGTTATTCTGTTTATTGTCCTTTTTATACAAATTTATATACATAGTGATGAATATTGCTATTGAAATATTGCATTTTATTTTCTGAGAATATATTTGCAAATGCAAATAATGTAAGGTATGTTAAATCATATCTAGTTTAATCATTAAAATAATCCATGTTAATTTGCAGAGTAAGAGTAAAGACTTATATTCTGTGTGATATAGATCCTAACTGTAGTTAGCTTTAGGAAAGAAAAGAATAATTGTCAGTATTTATCAGTGGATTTCTTTATAATTACTTGCTGATCTAAAGTTTAAATAATATTTATTTAATATCATTATAATCATAGCATCTGTTTTTCATCCCAAATAATGTTTTAAATCTTTTAATCTTATATCAAGAATAAAATGAAGTAGTATAATTTAGAACTATTAAATTTGAATAGTGTATATTGATAATGTTGTAATATATTTAAATTTCATTTTTAAGGTGGATCCTCATCCCTCTGTTTTGGAACAAGCTACAAAATTTTGCCAACTTCAGCTTGGAAAGTCTTACCCTGTAATTATTATTATTATTGTTACTGTTTTTCATATATTGATTGTAAAATTTTTCTATGGGCATGTTATATGAGTGCTTTGAAAGTATTTAACAAGTTTCCGTAGAAGATATGTGAGTCCATTTCAGAATTTTTCTTGTATACTTCTTTATTATTAAAATCCTCCAGATACCAGACGGCATATGTAAATTCTAAAATATTTTGTGTAATATCTTTAAATAAGTATACATTCATGCATTTTGTAATAAGAAATTAAGGCAGTATTATGAAAGAAAATAATTCCAGGTATAAAGTATAGAAGCTTGACTATCTGTGTCGAGCTTGGGAAATGCCCATTGTGGGACACATAAAAATTCCAGATAATTGAGCATATAAAAAGTGCAATTCCTGATAGAAAAGCCAAAATCAATAGAGGAAATTTCTGATTTAAAGGTAAAATATACAAGATTTTGAGGCATATAAACCCAATATATTTCATAAGCCTTAAACATATAAACATCTTATATAATTATGATTCTGACCATGAAAGTTGGCAGAGATGATCTCATATTTATGCCAGTCGTTCCAGAAGTTTAAAGGGAAAAATCATAAAATCATTGTTTATTTAGTTAGATGATCAAGAGATGCAAGTTACAGATGCCCTTCCTAGGAAAAAAAGTTTGTAATTTTTTTATCTCTTTTCAAATAAAATTACATATTGTGCCCGTTAATGCACAATTTCTTGATGCCAAGATCCTGTGATTTTGAAAATATTGTGGCAGATGTTGTTCGGTTAGGGAAAAGTCCCAAATTTTAATAAAATTTTCAAAATATGAGGAAAAAATTTATGAATATTAGTTAACTTATAACTTTCTTTACAAAAACTAAACTGCCTTATCAAGAATTAATCAAGTATAAATAAAACTAAGCCGAAAATCTTGTGGTGTTATGGCATCATGCTTTTCAGTTCTTAGCAGTAAATCTCATTGTTTAGTAACAGTGCAGTATATGTCATTTTTAATAGCTTTAGAGGTCTCTCATTTGCTTAATTTTGCTTCCTGTAGGCATTTGTCTTATAGGAGCAGTCTTTTATTTGAATTTTGGAACTGGTTTCAACACCTTCTTGCACGCTTTTTTTTCTTTAGTGTTTTCCTGCAGTACATAAAGTTTTATCAAATTTGTTCTGTCTGTTAAAAAATGCTTATAACTTTACAGTTAATTTCAAAAGACAAAATAGTGATTAAATATTCCACTAATTTTGAACATAGCGTAAAGTCACACTATTACTTGATTGTGAGTATCTTTCTCTTCCTTATATTATGTAGAACTTGCTGCACTATGCAGTAGTCTTCTGAACTGACCTTCATAATATTATACTCGTTTAAGCATTATAATTGTAATTTTAAATTTAAGAACACATTTGAAGCATCTCTGTCGAAGCTTATATAATATGTAATATCATATGTAAATCCGTGAATCTCAAAAAAATTAAATGTTAATTTTGATTGACTATAAAGAGAAGTATAAAGATTTGTATAACATTTTCCAGTGGTGTTATTTTACATCTTTAATGTGATAAGTAAAATACATTTCTTATGCTACATAATATACGTTGATTGAAAATTTTCTAACTCTAGCTCTGATGTGTGCAGTTGTCTGCATCAAAAACAAAACCAGTGATCAAATTTTAAAGTAACATACAGTTGCAGTCTTCTGATTTTTTTAAAACTTATATATTCATATAGTATTTTTTATATATTAATCTTTACTTAATAGTAAAGATTTAATTTATTGTTTGGCTAAAGCATATATTATTTCTATTTCTTAAATGACAAAATTACTGAAATATAAAACGAATTTGAAATGTTCAAAATGTATGTTTTTTCCATTTTAACTCAGTTTTATTCCAATTTTAAAAGTTTAATTTTTCTACATTCTCATTTCATTGTCTCATAAATATTTAACCTAAATATATATGCTAATTATAAAGTTTCTGTTAAAATATGGTATAGGATTATGGGAATAAAAAAGTAAATATATGATTTTTTTACTTTCATATAATCATTGTACAGTAAAAATCTCAATCAATAAAATTTAGTAGAACTTTTTGTTTTCTAATTGCCATGCTTTAATTAGTTAAAGGAAAATTTTGTATATCTTTCTGTAAAAATTTATGGGAAGATATTTCAAATTATAGACTTCCCCCCCCTAAAGTAATTAGGGTTTTTGAGAAAAGTTTTCTGAGCAGCTTCATGACAGGTGGATTTTTATGTGTTTTGGTCATTAAAAGTTTTAGTCATTTTATCATTTTAGGTAAAACAGATTGTTAAATGCATAATTGATCTCTTGAAAATATTATTATATCAATAAAATTTTCAGATGAAGATTTGGAACTTATTTTAAACTAATTAAATGTTAATGCTTGCTATGCCCCGCCCCTAGAAAAACTATATAAAATGTTTGTTTTCTAGTGGGAGAAGAAATTTCTACACTCGCAATGTTAGCACTTTTTTTTTTTTTTTTTAATTTGTATTTTAAGAAATTTTGTGATAGGAAATGTATTTGTGTAATAAAGATTTTAAAATTTGAAACTTATATATTCTATATTTTCAAACACTCTGTGTATTTCCCATTTTAATCATGAAACTTAAATTCATTTACTGGTGATACATACATTGTTACATGTTACTATTTATATGCATATGTCAAAGTATTCTGTTTGTTTATTAATAGTGTGATTTTCTGTATAGGGTATTCATGATTCCTTCAAGACCAGTAGCTCCAAATATTCCACTATGACAGAACTAAATGAAAATAATATGAATGTTTCTATGCCTTCAGCTGGTGCTTATACCCCTGATGCTTGGCAGAAAGGTAAAAGATGATGATAAACATATTGTTTCTGATATTTTCAGATATCTAAGAAAAACATTTCTGGTGTACATTGATCATTGGGAAAGAAAACTCATATGTTTGAACAATGGAAGAATTCATGCAAATGTGTGAAATGTAATTTATTGAATTTATTTTATCCTTTATTCATGAGAATTTCTAAAAATATAAGTTTAAAAACAAAAATAATATTTAAAAGAAGAAAATTTGGTTATACTATATATTAAGCTAAAAAAGTCGATTTTTTAAAGCAATATACTTTTTGAATACTTCAAAAATATAGTTTTTTATCAAATAGCTTTCATGTGTGATAATATTTAATTTTTTTAAATTTGATCTTTGTATTTTTAATAATGAAACCTAAAGGAATCTCTAATTTTTTTCTTGTATATTTAATTCTGAAATTAAGTTATTAATTCTAAGGAATTAAATTTTGCTCCTGATCTTTTACGTTTGCTAAAAAGCATCATTTCTGTTTATTTATTTTTTGTAAATAATTCTGTGTATATATGTTAGTATTTATGTTTGGCATGGTTAATGTGTCTTACATTTAAATAATTTATGTACATCTGCCTGAAAAAATGTATTTAAAGCTTTTCTTAATGCAGTGTGTTCATTATTTTATAGAATTGTATATACTTTCAATATCACATGCACGATTTTAATACCTGCATTGGTGTCATTTAATAAAGTTATATTTTCACTTAAGTTGTTGTCTTTTTTTTTTTTTTAATTTATTTTAATTATTTATTTATTTCTTATTATAAGTCTATGGTAAAAAGTGAAGTACAATAATTAAATATCATAAATAATGCATGTTTGCATTTCCCTTTTATTTCATTTCAACCATTTACCTCTAAATATACATATGCTGCCTAAAATTGTTGTTTTTCACTTTGTTATTTTGATGCTTAGTTGCTGATTTGGACAATTTAAATTGCACTGGTGTCGTCTTGCTTGATTTAAATACATAATGTAGGCATGTGTTATAGCTGTGCTGTGTAACTGGTGGTGGCAAATTTTTTCAAAGCCATTTAATTCATCATGTTTGCTAATTTTTAGTTGTAGAGCTTATTTCACTTTTTATGGATATCTTTAACAGGATTTATTATATATAGATTATGCTTTAAAAAAATTTTAAGCATCTGAAGGATCCTGGATAATTACTGTTTCTACTTATGCAGAATTTACAAAGTCTCTTATGTTGCCTGTCATTCCATGTGAAGCAAGAGTGAAACCAGATATCAAGGCTGTTCAAGACCCACTGATTTTAATACCTTTAGAGACTAAATTCAATAATCATGTTGTTCAGAAAACAAGTATTACACAGTGTTCAGTAGTTGCTTCACAAATGGTCCATGTAGAAAAACCTAAAGCTGAAAACTTGCAAGCTTGCTCTGTTGCTTTTTTGCCAGTTACTCCAGTATTTTCAAAAGAAACTGTGAATGTCCCTAACACTTTACAAGGGACATCACTTTTATCTTGTCAAGCTTTTGAATGTTTTGATGTGCTTACAACTATTATGCAAGCTTCAGGATATAAAGTTGCACAGTCTTCAGCAACACAAGCAGCTGATTCAGTAACCTCTTCAAATATGCCAAACATTGCCGTTTCAGAACAGGGTAGGCAAAGTTTTCAATATGAAGGTCATCTGAAACCTTGGAAAACATGGGCTGTTAAAACAAAGAGACAGAAAAGGAGAGCTTCAAGTCAAAGAATGGAAGGATTAAATTTATGTAAAAGGCTGTCTACTAAACCTATAGTAAGTAGCACTATTGCAAATTCTATTGCTGAACTGAAGATTGATGGAATTATGACCACCTCTAAAAAATCAGATAAAACTCAGTCCTCACCTTTGCCTCTTTTAAAATCTAATCTAGAGGGGGATAAATATGGCTTGCAAGCTAAAAAAACTATATCATGTTTAGAAAATAATGATTTTAATAAAAATAATATTACCTATCCATGCCAACAAAATGAAACTTCACCTGAAAGCAAATTGGCTGTAACTGATGATACTAAAAGTTGCAGTTTTACTAAAGATTTTTCGTTGTCAGATGAGGATGAAAAAGTTTCAAGCAAATTAGAAAAATCAGATAATGATGCTGATAAAGATTCTTCCATGTCTCCTCAGCTAGAAACATCTATTGAGAAATATGCCAAAGAAGTACTTGAATTTATAAATCAGAAAGTTGAAGATATTGTTTCTGGCATGAATTCTCAGACTGAATTAAACATTTCAGAAAATGGCCCAAGCATGTTAACCAAGGAAATGAACAATGATCAGTTTTCCAATGTTGTAGAAAAAGAATCAGTTATTGAGGAGAAATCGGAGTCAGTGAATACTGAAATGTTGCCAAATTCAGTTTCATTATCTGTTGAAAATGATCAACTTCATGATGTCAGTAAAGAAACTGATTTAGTACTAAATAATAATGAAGTGATTCAAAACCCCTCCCCTGATATGGTAAAAAATACTTTATCAGATTAATGTTAAGTTGTAGAAAAAAAAAATACTGAAGCAAAGAAAATTACGATGAAAATGAAAGTTAAAGTAAAAAAATTGTGCTTTAGGCACAGTCTCATATGCAATACCTCTGTGTACTACCTCTTGAAATATTCTGCAGCTCAGGAAAAAAAAAAAATGTTTGTTAAAGTGAAAATAAGTAAAGGTTAAAGTATATATTGAAAATTTTATCTTGACATAATTAAAGTAGCATTGCCCCCCCCTGAGTCCTTAAGCCATACTGCATTGTCTCCTCGTTTGTGTTGCATCTCTCATCATAAAGAAGTAACCTGCATTTAATCTCTAAATACTATCTATTGTTTTTTGCTTAAATTTTTAGATTTCAAATAGTTTTTAATACAACTGTTCAGAATAATTTTTTGAGATGTCTGTTTGTAAAGCTCTGAATCATACATTTTAATTCACTTTTGTGAAAGTATTCAAATACTAGCCAAAATAATGTAGCAATGTGTGTATATTTTTCTCACGTTTGTAAGTGGGTAAAACTTTTATTCAGTTTTAAATGGCCGTAACTGTTTTATGTATGACTTTTGATTTTGTTTACTTGACTGGCTTCAAAAGCAAATTATAATTAAGATTATATTATCCACGTAATACTTAGATATAAGAAAAGTATGTCAAGAGACAGTCTAACCTGAATTAAGAAAGGAACACATATCATTGCACATGCACTGAAAAATCCTTTTAAATCATTTTATTTATCATGAAATACTTTTAAATAATTTCATTGATCATAAAATACTTTTAAATCATTTCATTGATCTTTTGACCATAACAGGAATGGCATTATTCGAATTAAGAATCTATGAATGTTTAATATATGCTCTAAAATTGAAGGCACAGCTATGATTAATAGACATATAAGTGTTCTTTAACATGCTACAAAACAAAGAAGTGTTTTGGCTGTGGGGAGACCACCCCAACAATTGTTTACAGTTGTTTAAATTATGTGTTTGAATGGATGATAAAATTGCTTTATGTTCTGAAATGAAGAGGAATCTGTCTTCTCATGAGATGTTAGCCATAAGAAATGCCAACAAACACATCTTTTATGAGCACAGGATGACTTGATATGATGCTAAGTTCATTAATATTCATGGAAACTATTTAAAATTAAGAATAGGTTTTAAAAAAAAACTTCAGTCGTTTCATGCTAAGAACATTCTGAATGTCTCTTGTGCAGGAATTTTTCCAATACATATTCCTTGTTAGTTTTCCAAGTCCCATTTTCTGTTTCAACAGAAATGAATATGTAGTTATCATTTTCATGTTTCTAATGAACATGTAGTTATCATTTATGTATGCACACATGAAACTCTTTGCATTTTTACTAAATATAGTTCTCATATTATAAAGAAATGTAATTTTTTGAAAGACAGTTATCCCTAATATGATGTATAACTCAAAAATAATAATAATAATAATACACCTACATTCTGCATTTATAAATTAGTTCTCTGGCACAGTATATTATGTTAACTTATTACTGCTGAGTAGATATTTTTTTCAGCTATATCCAATTCAAAATTTAATGCCTTTGAATGTGTAAATTATTATCAATTAAAATATATAACCTCTCATTTAAATGTCAGTGCAAATTAGCTACTTAAAATAATATGTAAATGAGTGGAAGAATTCAAATGAGGAAAGTATTGTACAAAATAAGTAGATATGATATGACGAATTGAGTAGGTGAGATTTTACATTTAAAAGCTTTAAGAACTCAAAAATGTTAACTATATGTTTTAGCTATTTACTGTAGCATAAAATTTGAGATTACTTTTACTTACACCTGTTATTGAAAATAACTTTCTCATGTTCATTTAAAATGAAAAGTTATCACATTAGATGAATTAATAAACTGAATGTGGGGTGGAGGATGTTGAAAAATGTTAATTCATCAATGATTGCTTTTTCATTATGTATTGTTCAGAATTTTTCTTCCCCCCCCCTTTTAATTTTTCTTAAATTTTTTTCTATATTTTCATCCATTCTTTGAAATTCAGCTAATTTATAAATGCAGAAAAGTGATGAAGAATCTTCCAGTGATGAAGAATGAATTGTAATTTTAGACATTATTAAATTACCATTCATTTTTCATCATTGGTTTTTAGTTTTTCAGTTTTAGGTAGCTTTTCGTGATACAAAATGTGCAAACATATGTAAATCAGTACTATGTTTTCATTTATACAGCAGCAAGAATTGTCCAAATCTTAAGTTTTCCTACTGTGAACTTTCACATTATGCCATATTTCCGTGCATATATTTCCCTCAATATGTTCAGAGCTTCCTTAAACTTTTTAAATGGATTCATCTAAGTAGTGATTGTTTTCCTTTTACTAACTAAGACAAACTGCCTGTGAAGATCACTCTGAACTCTTCCCTTCTAACTGCTGAAATTTGTGACAGCCTATTACAAGAACTGACCCATCCAGCAAAGCAAACATGAACTGATATTCAGTTTCTGATTTTTCTCAGTCATTTGCACTTTCACCTTCTCTAATTATTAATTGATGTTTTAAGAATCAAAGAGTAACGGAGAGAACAATAAGAACTGGCTTATATTCAAGTTACAGAGAAGTGGAATGTTGTATTACATATTGTGAAGTTAATATTACTACTTATTCTTATTAGTATTTAGATTTCTTTTAAAGAAATAATATAGTGATTAGTGATATTTACCTGTAGTTTATCCATGAATACTTTTCAATTTTTTTGTTCTTACTGTAATGGCATCCTTCAGAAATTTTAATTATTCACATAATATTGCTTTCTCAATTGTTGGATGATAAAAATAGTTAGAAAAAGGGGGTATGCACCAGGAAATACAGTAAATAATGTTTATACCCAGTGGCAGAATTTTACTTGAATAGTTAGTAAAGAAAATATGACTTTCATTCTGAGAATCGGGAAAGTAAAGAAGTTTCATGGATAAAATTATATGCCTTTCAGACCTTTGAAAAAATTTCAAAAAGATATTCAAGATTATCTAAACATTTTTCCCCCATGTTATCATAGTTGTTGAGCAACAAGGCTTCTTCATTTTGCCGATGATTAAATGGAATAATTTATGAGGGCCATCTACTTTGCTGCAGGATGGGTTTATAAACTTTCTTTAATTTCTCCTTACTTTGAAAAGTTGATCCTTGAAAGAATCCTATGTTTCTCACAAATA